GGGGTTGGCGGGGTGACAGGGGCGGCGAAGATTCTGAACTCACCTGGGTCAAAGGAGGCACGAATCGGAGCAGCAACGCAGCTGCCGTGGCGGAGCAACACAGCTGTCTGTCGCGTTGACGCGAAGGTGACACTGCACCGGCCTTTTTCTGGGGAGCGACACAAGGGAAAAGACCCTTGGATCCTCCTGCGGAGCCCGTTTAAACAGTCGTGGAAGGCACCGGCAGTCGAATCGTCGCCCCCCTTGGCACCGACTCTCACCGCGGCACCGGTTCTCCCCGTACCCGATCTTGGCCCTCAGCCGACGGATCGACAACCCAGACTTTCCCGGGATTCGAATCGCCGCCCGCTTGGCACCGATTCTCACCGCGGCACCGGTTTTCCTCGTCCCCGATCCTGGCCCTCAGCCGATGGATCGACGACCCAGACTTTCCCGGGATTCGAAACGTCGCTCCCTCGGCACTGATTCCCCCGCGGCACCGGGTCCTGAACCCGCACCCCGCAGGCCGCATTCCCTCGCAGGCCCTCCACAGAAAGTATAAATAGTGGTGTGGGCCCACCATTTCCCATTTCTGCTACTTCGTCGAGAACAACGGAGCGTTGCGGAGGTTCGCGAATCGTCCGAAGCTGGCGGAGCGCTGACTTGCACATCAGAGGCTCGCGCAAAACGCAACGGAGATCCAGCTCGCACATCGGAGGTTCGCGAATCGTCCGAAGCCGGCGGAGCGCTGGCTTGCACATCAGAGGCTCGCGCAAAACGCAACGGAGATCCCGCTCGCACATCGGAGGTTCGCGCAGCATCGGAGCGAAGTTCCGAGCATCTGCATCGAAGGCAGCAGCGGAGGCTTGGGAGAACGGTAAACCGCTGTGAAGCAACTACGTGCTGCCATGTGGCATCTCCGCCCATGCAGAGGCCGCCGTCGAGTCGAACTCGACGGGGGACCTGAGCCAAGTCCTACGGCCATTGTCGAGTCGAACTCGACAACGGCCCGGGGTCATCATCGAGTCGGACTCGACAACGGCCTGGGGTGATTGTCGAGTCGGACTCGACAACGGCCCGTGGTCATCGTCGAGTCGGACTCGACAACGGACTAGGGTCATTGTCGAGATGAAATCGACAACGGCCTGGGGTCATCGTCGAGTCGAACTCGACAATGGCTAGAGGCCTTGGCGCTGGGCGACCGTCTACTTCGACTCGACAGTGGCCAGCCGGCCGTCGTCGAGTCGAACTCGACGGTCGGCGAGTAGGGCGTCGTCGAGTCGAACTCGACAGTGGCCAGTAGGGCGTTGAAGAGTCGGGCTGGACGGCCGTCGTCGAGTCCAACTCGATGGTCGGCAAGCGCCAAGGCCTCTGCCATTGTCAAGTCCGACTCGACGATGACCCCAGACCGTTGTCGATTTCATCTCGACATTGTCGAGTCCGACTCGACGATGACCAGGCCGTCGAGTCGAACTCGACGGTGGACCAGCGCCAAGTCCTATGGCCATTGTCGAGTCGAACTCGACAATGGCCCGGGGTCATCGTCGGGTCGGACTCGACAACGGCCTGGGGTCATTGTCGAGTCGGACTCGACCACGGCCCGGGGTCATCGCCGAGTCGGACTCGACAACGGACTAGGGTCATTGTCGAGATGAAATCGACAATGACCTGGGGTCATCGTCGAGTCGAACTCGACAATGGCCAGAGGCCTTGGCGCTGGCCGACTGTCGACTTCGACTAGACAGTGGCCAGCCGGTCGTCGTCGAGTTGAACTCGACGGTCGGCTAGTAGGGCGTCGTCGAGTCGAACTCGACAGTGGCCAATAGGGTGTCGTAGAGACGGGCCGGACGGCCGTCGTCGAGTCGAACTCGACGGTCGGCAAGTGCCAAGGCCTCTGGCCACTGTCGAGTCGAACTCGACGACGGCCGTCTGAGCTTTGTCGATTGTCCGTCATCGATCTCGACTCGACGAACGCGACGATGGATAGATGCCGATGAAATTTGTCGTCCTGTGTGTCTTCTCCTTCTGTATTGGACATTCGCAATGCCTGGTTGTTGTGTGTAACTGCGATGACTCCTCGGTGTGTGAGCGAGTTTGACCTTAGCAATGGCTCCTTCTTGTGGTTGTCAATTGTTTCTGTGTGTCGGACATTCGCGATGGCTCACCGCTTCGATTACTCGTTCCCTTTGAATGCTACCGCGAGGTGCATACGGGGTTCAAGGCGGGACACTACTATACTTGGGGCCCGTAGAGAAGACTTCGACACGGACCTTTGGATGAGCGTTGTGCCCTGGCTTGAAAGGCCCTTCGACGCATGGTCCGAATTAGACTGGGAGAACACCATGAAAGACTGCCCTTGGGCATCTGATTATCGACTAGCTTCCAGCCAGGAATGGGGGACATTCATCTTCCTCGACCACATCCTCGTGACGAAACACACGCCGGTGTTGTCTGCAGCATTTCGTACCCGAGACTTGTCTTTATCGTTGACTGCGCACAACGTGTCGTGTTCGCCGCGCTTGTGGGGACCATCGATGAAGGAGGAGTTGCTGGACTGTGCGAAACAGAACCAGTTTCTAGAGAAATATCCCCTTCCCTTCGAGGACAACTTGACAGGGAGTGTGTCGTACTTCTGCGTGCATGTTGAACTCTGTCGTTTCTCTTTCGCTAGAGTTCTGTGTGTTTCGGTAAGAAATAGAAGTAAGACTTGAGCAGAGGCAAGTATTTACATGTCCAGGAATGAGCTCATCGTTGACGGGGACTCGATTATGTTACCGCATGGTTATAGGAACTGTAAGTTTGATGTGAAACTGGCGGGGCAGGTTGACGCACCCCGGCAGTGGGAGGAGGTCGAGGAGTATGTGACGGTCATTCGAGATGCCATCCGTCGCACTTTAGCCAGAGCATGTGGTTTCGTCCGTGCGCGATACGTGTCTCAGTTGTCCGCCACTGCTACCCTGTGTAGTCCACAGCTTCTAACGTACGGTTCATCCTTGAACGCACTGTACGGTTTTGGGGCTAAACGATAGGCGAGGTCGTGGGGGAGGTCATGGGAGATGAACAGTGTGAGACATGTGAGCTTATTCAGCTGTTCAGCAAAAGTGAGAACTGAGACTATGTATGCGTGGGAGCAGTGAGTTTGAAGTGAGATTTTCGATGCAGGTTAAATACGTTGAGACTGTTAGTCGCTCGTTGTGGGTGCCGGTTGCATGCCTTGCCAATTGAATGCTTCGAATTGATAATGGATGTAGGTTGTCAATTGATGTGCCTTGATTGATGTAACTTGTTGGTAACGCCGCTCCCTATTCAGCAAAAGTGTGAACCGAAACTATGTTGCGTGGAAGATGAACAGTGTGAGAAATGTGGGCTATTAAGCAAGAGTGTGAACTGAGACTGTGTGTGTTATGGAAGCAATGGGTTTGATGTGAGATTGTCGATGCCGTTTACATACGTTGAGACTGTTCGTCGCCCGTTTTGGGTGCCGGTTTGGGTTTGATGTGAGATTGTCGATGTCGTTTACATATGTTGAGACTGTTTGTCGCTCGTTTTGGGTGCCGGTTGCATGCCTTGTCAATTGAATGCTCGGATGTAGGCTTTCGATTGATCTGCCTTGTTTGATGTGACTTTTGGATACGCCACTCCCGTGTTATATTTGCCTGCTATTGGATACGCCGCTCCCGTTCTCTATCAAGATGGCCACCAACGAACGAGTCCGGCCCGATCCTGTCGAACTATCTCGCTGGCCCGCCACGTTCGAGTCGAACTCGATCGAGTAGAACACGATCGAGTCGCGATCTTCAGGGTCGTGCTGGCCCACCACGATCGAGCTGTCCCGTCAGCCTCCAGTCGGAACACGATCGATTCGAATACGATCGAGTCGCACACAATCGCCTGGACTCACGATCGAGTTCAGGCGACACGATCGTGTCGAGCACGATCGAGTCGAACACGATCGCTTGGATTTACGATCGAGTCGAACACGATCGCCTGGACTCACGATCGAGTCGAACACGATCATCTGGACTCACAATCGTCTGGACTCACGTTCGAGTCGAACACGATCGTGTTAAATACGATCGACACGCACACGATCGCCTCTGACTTACGGTCGAGTTCAGGCGAACACGAGCAACCGCGATCGAGTCGAACACGATCGAGCTGGCCCATCAACAAGATTGTGTCGAGCACGAGCACGATTGCGATCGAATTGAACACGATCGCGATCGATTCGAACTCCATCTCCAGGGCTGCCTTGTCACGAAGGAGCTGCGCTGCCTTATCACTATCTGAAACTTTTCACTTTTCTACTCCTCGTGCCATGCCAACGTTGGGCAACCTTCTGATTTTTGGCTTTGCGGTGATGTGTTGTGTTGCTTTCAGATTCGGTAGCGCTACAAAACTTGGAAGGAGAGGGGAAGGCAAATAAACGACGAGCAAGTAAGAATTCTGAGAGCATGGAACAATCTCCGAAAAAATCGAAGGGGACGCCGACCGCTGGGGTGGGGAGTCAGGAGGCACCGGGGTCTAAGCGGCAACGCACCCCGGTTCCGAGGGGTGCACCTTCGTCAGGCACTCCGTCGACACGTGTTCGGGGCTGTGGACCGGATAAGGCTGTGTTGATGATTGGCGGGCCTGCGGGTCAGGAACGTGTGCCTGGTCCGCAGCAGGGAAGATCTGCAGTGGAGGTTGTGCCCGGACGTAAACCGTCTAGTGAACTTAAACCATCTGGTGAACGTAAACCGTCTGGTGAAACGACTGCTGCGGATCGGCGAGACGATGTGCCCGTGGTTGATCACACGGACAAGTTCTGGATGCTGGATTGGGTGGGGGAGATCGGACAACCATCGAGTGGCCTTGTTCTATATGTGGTCATCAAAGAAAATATTGTGCCGGTTGGCGGCCTGGTGAGGTGGACTGGACAAAATGCGCCGTCTGCAACGTTCGAGTTGACGATGGTTCTGAATGGAAGAGGGGAAAGAATACCGAATGTTAAACACGTCGCTCTTCGATGGGCCAAACACACGGGGTTTGGAAAGTCGCTGGTTGGTGTGTTCAACCCACCAGGGACAACGAAAATGAAGTTGCCTAACCTCGTCGACGTCCTCGGGTTTTTCGACGGTAATGTGATCGCGGGCGAAGAGCCGGTAGTGCATCCAGAAGACCGTATATCGGAGCCTAAATGCGTGCTTTCAAAAACCGTGGAGACAGGGCCTTCGATCACGATCCGCGATACGCCGCCTGGTCCGAAAGCTGGGCAGATTGGAGAGAAGGGTCCGTGCCGCGGACTGGTCGTGCCATCAGCCCCTATGAAGACTAGGCCAACGACGACCAAAGCACCAGTTGCCTTGGGCAGCCGACCTCGCTATGTTGCGGCCACCAAGGGACCTCTCCCCTTGGTGGGTCAGCAGCGCTATGACTACACTGTGCCAAGCCGCGCAGAGGAAGCCCATGAGTTTTTTGAAGATGAGGATGAAGAGAACAGCGAGGCATATTCGGAACGAGCAGGAGGACAGGAACAGTATGCTGCGTGTGTCGGCGGCATGACGAGGCATCCAGGAGAGACAAGTAAAGTGGTTGGACAGGATGAAGACAGTGAGCACACTATGAGCAAATTGGGTGGAGAGGTTGGTCTGGCAGGAGGATATGGGAGCAACTACGAAGGATGTGAGGGGGATGTGCATCCAACACGAGGGGGGGTGTACCACGCGACAGTGGTTGTGGCTGGGCATACAGATGTTGCAGGGCTCGCTGAGCGAAAGAGGAAGCATAGGCAGGAGAGGAGAAGTGCTATGGCTAGTAAACGGGGTAAGCAAGAAGCGGGTGAAGAAAGACAATTGAAAATATTGCCCGTGGATGAGGCGTTCCAGCGAACACGGGAGACTGAGGCAGCCACGAAAAAAAAGCAGCAGCCAAAGAAAAGAAAGGCAAAAGGTGGTGTCATGGAAAAGACTTCCGTTTTTCCAGCGGAACAACCACAATCGGATGAAGAGGCCAGAGGCAAGACAGTTACTAGGCCGCCAAGTTTGCGAAATGTGTCATCGGTGACTTCTTCTGGTGTTCTCAACAAAGGCTTCTTCCTTGAGTTGGACGAGCGTGGGAACCAGTGTCCAGACATGGAATTCATTTCTGTCCAGTTCAATAGAATTCAGGATATCCCCAACGGGGAATTCAGATACAGTCAACGCTATCTTGTGCAGCAGACGATTGATGATATTTATGACGCAATGGTTGCATCGGGTGAGGCTACTATCAGAGAGAGAACGACTGGAGCTGCCGGTGTGAATGTTTGTACATTGTATGAGAAGCCTGTCCTTTTGTTGGTTTCCCTCCGTGATACATTGCATACTGACGCTTCAGGGAGGATTGTGGGAGCAAGGAGGGTGCTGCCCGATGAATTCGACCTCGAATCTGTGAACAAGTACTACTACCACTCTCTCGGCGGTCAGCATAACGTGGCGGCGGCAAGAAGGTATTTTGTTGAACGCCCTGACATCGCACAAGAGCTCCGATTGGATCGCTGGACTGTGAGGCATGTTATTATCCGGATAAGAGCATGGACAATTACGGCACGCTGAGCATTTTCCAGAACGCCAAGGACAAATGGAATACCCCACCGCACCAAATCGTGGTCATCCAGAACATACGGAAGTAGTGGCACGAATCGAACTGTCCTGAAGCTAAAGGCGGCTCAGCGGCAGAAGTAATAGAAAGTTTGCAGGAGAGGCTCTTCGTTTGACCGGGATTCGTAATTTGGTTGACATGTCCCTTACTACTCAATGGAGCGGCCAGTGGTCTGATGCCCTCGGACCCTACATGTTGTTGGCAAGGGCGACAGATGACATTTTCGAAAAGGCGAAACAAGTGTACGCTGCTTGAGAAGCTGGACAATTGCCGGGGAGAGATGCTGTGAAGCCTGCTACCAAACAAGGTGAATCAGGGAAGGCACCGAGGGCTGGACCCGGATTTGAGTTAAAAGGTGGAGTTAGGTATCTGGTTCACTTGGTTCAGGGTACCAAAGGACCGGGTTACCTCGTGGCTGTGCACGATCCGGATATCAGAGTGTGGAAGTCTTTTTCAACGTTTGGGATGCGTGAGCGGCTTCAACTGTTGCGAGACATTCTCACAGGCAATGTAATATTGACTCCTAAGCAAAGTGGAGTTGCTCAACGTGCCAGGAAACATTCAACAGAGACATACGCGGAAATGGTGAAGATTGAAAGAGCAATGTTGAGGATGTTTCACTACTTCGTCTTCATTTCTGACCCTCACAGGAAGTCGTCAGAGTGGACGGAACCATTCTTCAACAACCTTTCCGATTTGTTTGATAAGTACTGTGATGGATTGACGTCCAAGAGGTGGATCGACCAGCGTTGCCATTTCAAAGAGATGAATTTGGTGCGAACGTTCCCGGCTATACTTGAAGGAGAGGAGGAAAAAGGAGAAGAGGGCTTCAAGAAAACAACATCACTTGCTGCGAAGTGCCCCGAAGAGTTCGTGCAGTTTGTCAACAAGTTGCTGCGCAGATGAGAAACCAGGGGTTCGCAAAGCATAAGAATGCCGGGCACGACGAAATATATACATTTCCAAAAGCAGAACGTGAACTCTGTTTTTGTCCCGTTCCAATGGGAACCAAGCAATATTTCAAACGAGATGGATTCGAAGAAAGTATATAGAGTCGTCAAACATCTGAGTTGCCACACGGCCGTGCTGGATTTGTGTCACCCAACCCAGATAGGGGTGTGGACTGAAGAAGTCTTTGATGGYYTMCGGAAGTTCATGRGAAAAYTGGCTGGTSATTATTGGACATTATTGTGCTTTGTTCCGCGGTCTTGCGAGTATACATTTTTCAAGCGAGTTACAAGTTGGGAGATTGACATTCACTTGTCTATTCTAAAGTGGACGCGTCAGCAACAAACGAAGGCGAAGCATTCATATAAGGTTGCGAACTTGCCTTTGGAGGACACAGACAGAATGGTTGTCATCATGTGCTCCAATGATGGGGATTATCACCGCAACACTATTCTCTTGCTTGAAGACATTCCAGCAAGCACTCCAGCTGCAGATCGATCATCTGGCGAGCAGGCGGGTGACTTATCAGCACTTGTGCGCAGAGAGAGAAGGCCAAAGATGTTGGTTGATGTCGTGCAGAAGAACTTCACGCCCACAAAGTTGAAAATGGCAGGTATGGAGCCAAAAGAGAAAATTTTGTACGAAGGTATGAAAATGGAGCCAAATGCGATGGTGGAGACATTGGAGCATTTTTGTCCTACGGATGAGGCGGTTGTTTTCCTGAGAAAAGGTCATGCGGCGTTGATTTGCGAGTTGTTAAAGAGTCCCCGTGATTGCATTGTTTTGGAAGGGGAGGGTATGAAGTTCGAGTTTCTCGTTCAATTCGTCAACAGGATGGTCAAGAGTGGAGGTTACTTCACCAAATTTGTTAAGCCGCCTCCTCAACATGATGGAAAGCGTGATCTCGTCTACAAAGTCGGCCAAAACATCGTCAATATTTGGGAGTTTCTTTTCGAGACTAAGTCACAAAACAGAGGGGAACGTGCATATGTCGCCAGAAGGCGAAAAATGGAATCACTTCTGAGGGGGTATCATAAGGCACCGGCGGAGACGGAAGTTGCATTTCTAGACCGTTTGGAGATGATGTACTTCGACGAACATATCGGGGCGTTTACAATCGCAGCTTATGCAACTTGTTTTGGGGAAGGCTTCGATGCTGAGGACTCAGAGGAAGAAAGTCAAGATGTTACTTTGCAAGCGGCTTTGGCAGATGCGAGGCAAAAAGTTTGTAGCTCGACTTCGCAGAAGATGGGTGCGCCGGGCACATCGTCCGGTTCTGGGGGGGCTTCAAGTATGGCAGTTACAACGGACGGTTTTAACATACCAGTTACATGGCGGGCAACACAACAACGCTATCTTCCAGCGCAGTTCGGGATGATCCGAAGGTGCAGGCAATGCTCTCCCCAGAGGTTATGGCAAGTTTGTCAGCACTTGCACATAGCCCGATTACTGTTTTGGAATTGCTACGCTCTCAAACTCCTCAACAACCTCCATCTGAGCCTTTGGAGTACGAGATTGACAACATCATCCCTCCGGACATTGACGGCTTCCTGGACCTAGTGTGCCGAGACGATTATAAGGTGATGTCTGACAACGTATGGGGTCATCACATTATATGGCACCCCCACCACTTTCAACCTGCATTGGCGAGAGGGAACTGGGTAATTGCTATAAAAGAAGAAGGGGAGTGGCAATTTTGCCTCCACAGACGTATGTCACAATCGAAGTTTGTCACACACGCAAGAAATCAGATTGGCAAGCGACTACTGCGACTTAATCCGAATGTTTCTCAATCAAGACTGGATGCAAGGACAAAAGAAATTTTTCAGGAGTTCAAAACATCTCGATAGCTTGAGTATCTGAAAGAGTTCTATGATCGAGAAACAAGTCCAGCTTTTTGGTATAATTGGCGTATCGAAGAGGAACTTCAAGACAAAGTTGGGGAAAGGAAAGGAGCGAGCGGCGATGAGAGTGGCAAGGGATCAGGATCAGGCGGCGGTGCGCTTGGCAAGAGAACAAGATCAAGCGGTGATAAACATGGCAAGGGATCGGAACCACGGGGCGGTGCCCGTGGCAAGGGCCTGGGACCGAGCATCGGTGCAAGTGGAAAGCCAATAAGTCATGGTGAACTGCAAAAACACGAAATGTGTCAAGGGCGTCAAGCAACAGAGGGAAAGGTATCAGGACCAAGCRGCGRTGCACATGACAAGGGATCGGGTTCGCCTCTGGGATYMGGACCAAGCAGCGGTGCACATTRCAGGGGATCGGGTTCGCCTCTGGGATTAGGACCAAGCGGCGGTGCACATGGCAGGGGATCGAGAGGCGATGCAAGTGGCCAGGATTTGGGAGGAAGCGGCGGTGCAAGCGTCAAGGGCGTAAGTCATGGAGAACTGCCGAAATGTGTCAAGGACGTCCTTCCGGATGACCAAGTTTGGGCGACCACTGTGTTGGCGAGCGAGAGTGTTACTGCGGAAGTGGATAATGCTGGTGCACTTGCAGAATTAGAGATGCCATCGTTGGACATGCCAGCTGAGAAAGATGAGCATGAAGTCTCTCTGGACATGAAGAATGAAAGCGCGATTGCAAGTGCAAAGGAAACTGTCAATGTACAGGTTGTCGAAGAAGATGAAGGACATATAGTACTAAGTACACGGGAGCAACATACGCTTGTACCGCCTGAACTTATGGTTGCAAAATCAGAAGCACAACACTCTGCTAACCTCGTGATATTTATCGACGAATCTCCTTTTACACCATCGCATGGTGCGATAGAAGGTCGTGTTGAAGACAAAACGTTAGTAAGCCAGCGAGGTGAGCACGTACTTATCTCAAAGGGAATATCTAATACTGTATGCGGATTAGGCAGTACATGCACTCATCTCATAGGAACTAATTTTTTGCCTAGGTTTGCAACCGTGCGCTCGGTAATGAGAAGAAATGAAGTAGAATATTGTGTATCTCTTATTTGCAATTATGTGGAAAATTGAACTTAAACTCATAATTTTTTGTCTTGTCAATCATTGTCGTTTTATATTGCTGAACATGCAGGGCGACGAAAAGAAATGTGGAAAACAACGCATGTACGTTCGCAAAGGCAGAGTGAGAAAAATCTTATTCGTCGTGGCTTGCAAGCCTTATCGACTTTGTCGTTATTGCCCAAAAAAGAGAGAATAAGACTTACACCCATGACATTTCCATCTATGAAGCCAACTGACCTAAGGATGTTTAAAGCTGTTGGAATAAGCCTTAGAGAAGGGAAGAAATTGCATCGCGAAGGTTGCAGTTTATCTATTATGGATGGCAGCTCTGATAGCGAAACAGATAAACAACAAAAAACATGAACTCGGGTCTACGTCGTACTTCACATAACGAAAAGTTTGTTTTTGTATGAAGTCTTAGTCGTTCCATTATTGTTTATATGTGTGTTTGTATGCAGTTCATGACCCTTCGTTCCAGATTCCTTTAGCAACAAAACGTCTCACCGTAGAAGAAAAGGAGTATCTTGACATGATTATAGGCAGCAGCGAAGACAATGAAGCATACGGCATTGTCGATCACAAGGGGAGCTGGAAGGTGGGAAAGGAAGACGTCATGGTCGTCGTCGAGGATGGGAAATGACTAAATGACGAAGTCGTCAATTTGTACCTGCTAGCCGTCCAGATCACCAATGACTACATCAAGGTTGATTCGGCATGTATAGAAGTGACAAGAGATCATGAAAACTTTTGTAGTATTCCTTTTGTGTGCATTTTCAATTCTTTTTTCTTCACTCGATTGTCAGGTCCTTCGAGGTTTGAAACCGCATATTCCGAAGGGATGAAATGGCTGAAGGTTACAAATCTTTTTTATTATGACTTAGTGATTATCCCTCTTCATTTTGGAAATCACAGGGCCTTAGCTTATGTCAGCATAGACGGTCCAAACTGTAAATTCCACCTCATAGACTCTCTCCCTCGTGTTGACTATGTTTCAGTCCTTGAACGTTTGGAAGATTTTTTCAAAGCGGAGTTTTATCGACACAATCTTCACGAAAGATATCATGTGGACGGGCCTACATC